TTGTGTGAAAAATTTAGTCAGTTGTGGAAATTAGGAGAAAACCTTATTGCATTGTTTGAACCAAGGCTTGTGTGGCTGGGAAGCTTGACTACCTCTACTTGCTGCTTAGAAACTCTTCACTAAGGACCTAGGTTATGCTGACCGGAAAGCCGATCAGATCTGAAGACTGATGCAAGGAGTTTTCTTACATACATACATATATCTTTTCTTACATACATCTCAAGCAGCCCATATGTTTTACCTGAAAACTGGCCCCATACTGGTCAATCAGCTACTGTTTCCTTGTTCCTTTGATTGAATAGACGCTTGGGGGAGGGGAGTGGGACACCTCTTTTTCTGATTTCAGGGAACTGCACCTGTTCACTCTTCCCCTCCCAACTCAGAAAGCTCCTAATCTTTCCCCCAGTTAGAAAACAGATTATTTTAATCAGATTAATCTTGTATCCTGGTTTATATCCTATTGTTTTCTTTCAATGCATAAAAATCTATCTTCTCCTCTATTAGGGGTCCAGTGCCAAGCTGAGGAGCCCTGGTCCCGATTTGTCATGCAATTGGCATGTATTGCTTAGTAAATCAATATGTTTGGAAGCTTGAACCTTAGTTTCCTCAGTCATTTCATCTTTCACCCACCATAGCCAGGTTGAATCAGCACTTCGACCCTCAGGATGAGTCTTTCAGAAAAACTCCTTTTTCTCCATGGCACTTCTTTGTGGAAGACTGCCCCCTGTGGGCGGGCTCCCGCCTCGATTTCAGATTTCACCTGCCACATCATCCGGCAATGTTTGCTGGGGGTCCTCCCTTAGACCCTGCACAGAGGAGCTGTCCAATGTAGAGGAGGTCTTCCTCTAGGCCTTGGAACAGTTCTAGGGTCCTGGGCTGCTGTCTGACCAGCCATCTGTCACCCTCGCTCCCTCACTCTGGCTGTGTGACTGGCCTGCCTCTTTCCCTGATGATGCCTCACACAATGGAGGTCATCCCTGACACATTGTGCTCTACATACACCCATCATGCATCTGTCTCCCCATTGGCTTATGAGTCACCTGCAAGTTTTGGACATAGCAATATTTTATAAAGAATGAAGTGAAATAGCAAATAGGCTATGAATGAGAGATAGGCCTTTCCTATGAATAAGATACGTGAACTTTAGAGCGTGGACTTTGTGACGTATCTTGTCATTAACTGGTTCCCCTTACTGCTTTTGCCTTTCCTCTGAGATTATCTCCAGCTAGGTTGGGAATAGATAGAAATAATGGACCCAGAGCCAGGGAGACCTGAGTTCAAATCTGGCCTCAGACACTTACTAGCTGTGCGACCCTGGGCAAGTTCTTCAACCCCTGTTTGCTTCAGTTTCCTCATCTGTAAAATTGAGATAATAATAGCACCTAACTCACAGGGTTGTGGTGAGGACCAAATAAGATGACATTTGTAAAGTGCTCTGCCAACCTTAAAGGGCACATAGATACTAGCTATTATATTATTGTTGTTATTATCCTGTATATAACTTCTTTGTACATAGCTGCTTGCATCTTATCTCATCCATTAGCTCCCCAGAGCAAAGATAGTATCTGGCATACAGTAAGTGCTTACTAAATGCATATTGACTTTAAGCAAATACCTTCTTAGCTTATTTTCTTAGACTCAAGTATGATCAATGTAGGGGAAGCTATGGAATGGGGGGATATCTGCAGACCACACCCTTTAAAAAGAATCTGGTAATCTTCACATCAGGTCACAAGAAAGGAATAGGCGAGTAAGAGCTTGATGAAAGTGGGGCTTTGGGAGAGGAAGAATGTTCTGACTTGTACAACTTAAGTGCTACATTTTCTCCTAACATAATGATCTGCTTCCTGACTCTCAAACATGCCCTGTACCATACTGGTCTGAATACAGACTGCACCTTGAAAACAGGATCTCCTTGAAAGAGTCAAAAAGAGAAATAATGGGGGCAGCTAGGTGGCGCAGTGGATAGAGCACTGGCCCTGAAGTCAGGAGGACCTGAGTTCAAATCTGGCCTCAGACCAAACACATGAGACTTACTAGGTGTGTGACCTTGGGCAAGTCACTTAACCTCAATTGCCTAAAAATAAAGAGAAATAATGAAAAATGACAGTGATCATAGGCCACCCTCATGTTTTACATGAGCCAGTTCTGTGGGGTTTTGCACTAAGAAGGCACTTCCTCACCTCCCTGGCTCTTCTCATACTGTCTCTAGCTTGCCTGGAATATAGCTCCCTCTTCCTCTGTCATCCTTCAAAGCCCACATCATAGTCATATCTACATTTTTTAAATCTGCATACTTGTTGTTTCCTCCCAATGAATGTAAAGTCTTGAGGACAAGAACTTTCACTTCTATCTCTGTCTCCCTAGTGCCTAACATAGAGTGTAGCACTGGCAGTGACTTAGGAGTATCTGTTGGCTGACAAGTCTAGGGAGTGAAGGGCCAAAGAGATCATACAAAGTACTTAAGAGAAATGTGAGGAGGGAAAGATCATTTTCAGCTGGAGATTGATCAGGAAAGATCTTCTGTCATGGCCCCACTAGGCAGCCTGGGGAAGCTGACAGACTCCTCAGGATGACGTTTTTAAAAAACTGAAGGGAGTGCTAAATTTCAGTCAGAGGTCGGTGAAAATAAAGGTGGAATTTTTTCTACTCCATGTTTTACAGATTCCCTGAAATCTATCTGCAGGCCCCTAGGGGGAGGGGAGGACCCATGGGTCCTGGGTCCCCTAGAACCCTTGATTTAGACTCACCTACAACTGAAATAAGACTTCCCTCTACAACACCCCTGACCAATGTTCATCCAGTGTCTCTAGGAACTGGGGGCAGAAGCTGCAGGAACATGGTTTGGTTGCTGGAAATACAAGTCACACCGTCTGTGGAACCTGAGCTAACCATTTTCACTCTGTCAAAGGTCCAATTGAAGTGATTTTCAGCATCACACAGAAACCTTCCACTCTTTGGTTACACTTACCCCAGGCTGGGGTTTGTTCAATACAAAGTAGTTTGCTGTTCCTCCCAATCCCGAGTCTCAGTCTGTGAAGCAAGGCTGAATTTTATAAAGCTCCTTTCACAGGCCTTAACATCTGTGGAACTGTGTTAGTTCCTCCCAAGTTACTTTCTCAAGGAACAGTCTCTTTCTCTGGGGCTGAGCCACAAAGTTCTGTGGGCTTCAGATGAGCTCCTCTGAGTATTAATTAACTTAGCTATCCTTGTATTGGAAAGGCCAGATGTGAACGGAGGTCTTTCTGACTCCACAGCCAGTGTTCAGTCCACTGCCCTGAAACTTTACAAGGTCGTGGGCTAAGCCCATGGTAGATGTTCCCTAAATACTTACTATAGGTATGAGAAAAGCACTGAAAAAATGCGGCCAAGCAAAAGAGGGGGTAACTCAGCAGGCCTATTCAGATGGATAAGGCCATTTTAGGATTTTGTGGCAAGCTCACAAGACTATGGATTTAGAGCTGGAAGGGACCTCAGAGTCCACTGAGTCCAATCTCCCCATTTTACAGATGAGGACCTGGCAGGCCAAGAAATGAAATTTTTCTTTTCTTTTCTTTTTTTTTTTTATCTAGATGAGGGATAGAAAATATAGGCATAGAACCACATCCAGAGAGAACTATGGAGTCTGAATGCAGATTGAAACATACTTTTTTTTCTTTCTCATGGTTTTTTCCTTCTGTTCTGATTCTTTCACTTTTTCCTCTGCTAGGAAAGAGCAGAGACTGTCCTCTCATTCTTCTTCACTGCCAATGTGAATGGGTGGGGAGGGGCAGTGTTTCCTAGGCCATGTTTCTGTGAAGGGCCTGATTTCATTTGGTCCAGTAACTGTCCAGTGACAGGGTCAGCCTGCCTAGTGTAGGATGTCCCAGCTGCTTGCTCTGACACCCAGCTTCACACAGTGTAGCCTGAGACAGACCAGTCTAGGAAGTGGAAATCAGGAAGGGAGAAGATGAGAGAACTCTTCCTGAGAAGTCCTTGGGCCAAGTGTGAGGCTATAGAGCATAGACACTGCAGCTGCAGAACTGACTTGCTGCCCACCACCTGCTTGACCCTCATCACAGACACTCACTGATCCTTAGGGTTCAGCTGATGGCTGGACTGTAAGGTTCAGAAGTCTGGTCAGTAAAGAATCCAGTTTGGCTGGTATAGAGAGGGCTCATAATGTACAAACCCATCTTTATGTCATTCCCATCGATAAAACTGTTATCTGTTTCTGATTCTGAACTATCTGACACAGCCATAGATTTTGGTGGGAGAACTCTCTTTTGTGGGTCTCCTGTGGCTGGGGCTGTGGTGGGGGCAGGCCACCCTTATTCAGGATGGAGAAAGGGTGGCACTGAACTTTGCCAACACTTCAGCACATGCCACAATGGCTTCCAGGACAGGTCCTCACCACAACCCAAAGAACAACCTCCAGAAATGATTACAGAACATTTTAAAAAAGATTACTTAACGTGGTAAGATTCATTCATTTGGAAAGTTCATTTAAGCAACATGCCTCTTTTTCTAATAATGCCAGGTGAGTGAGCCATTTTTGGAATGGTAATAGAGGGGAAAGGTTTCCAACTGACTCTGCTTCCTACTATTAAATTGGATCATTTGAAATTGCTCTTGTAAAACGATACTCGAGTCAGCATCTCATAGAGAGGCAGGTGTAACATTTCAAACATGACAATGAATAGAGAAAAAACTAAACCCATACTTCCCTTGAAGCTCTCTTGATAACAACAAAAGTACCATTAATTGGATCAAAGTGTTTCCCTGGGCTATTATAATTACAGGTAACACCAACTGCGGGAACTGTCCAGTTGTAAAAATCCCAGGGAGGATGAGGTGAAGGACACAATTGCAGCTTTTTAAAAGGCATGAACATATGTGCTCACCAAAACTGATCTCTGGATTATAGTTCTCCTGGGTCTTCTTAGTAAGGAATTTAGAAAATTAGACTGAAAGAATTACTTATTGTAATTGACCAGTTTTCTTTTCTTTTTTTCATCTAGACGGGGGATAGAAAACATAGGCACAGAACCACATCCAGAGAAAGAACTATGGAGTCTGAATGCAGATCGAAGCCCACTGTTTTCTCTCTTTTTCTTTCTTGTGGTTTTTTCCTTCTGTTCTGATTCTTCTTTCACAACATGACTAATGTGGAAATATGTTAAACATGATTGCACAAGAGAGAGAGGGAGAAAAATCTGGAGCTCAAAATTTTACAAAAATGAATGTTGAAAACTATTTTTACATGTAATTGGGAAAAAATACTATTAAGGGGAAAAAGAAGGAAAATATAGGCATATACCAATGGGCATCAATGAGTTGCATGGATACTTGGCATTGGTAAAACGATGTTACAGAGAACAGTTAGCTTTATTGTCAAACTCATGCCTCAAACAATCAATAAACAACAAATATTCATTGACTGATGCCTCTCCAGTTGACCTATTGGTGGGTGATGGAAGTTGTGCTGGATGAGCTCTAAGATTCCGTATTTCTGTAGGGATGTATGCATATGTCATCCAGCATATTACAAATCGAAAAGAAACCCTGCTCAGCCTCCTACAAAACACACAGAAGTCCTGTTACTTACAAGGGTGCTGTTTCCAAGCAGACATTGACATGAGCTTTGACTTTCAGATGCTTATGCATTTGAGGATTGCAGGCCTGTCTCAAAGTTCCCAGGTAGATTTCTCCAGGCACTATCTCTATGGGGTATGTCTGAAATGCATCCAGTTCCTATAGAGGCAGAAGGAAAGGGCTGACTTGTGGGTGAACCAGAGAGCAGTCTTTCCACTTGTTTTTATGCAGCTCTTTAGGACTGTGGGTAGGATCCAGACAGGCAGGGATGTCTCCTTTCTTATCAGTATTTGGGCCAGTCTCTTGTAAAGGAATGCCTGGACCTGCCTGCAGTGGCTCAGAGACATGGAAAGCCATACAGTGAACAATGGAAGCTGTCCAGCTGCAGAGATTTAAGAAGGGTGCGAAGACGGGGGGCCCAAAAGTTGGCAGCCTGTAGCAGATCGGGAAAGCTGTTGTTTACTTCCCTATATATCTCTCTGCTTGTTGCCTGGTGTTGGTACCAACCCTGCTTTTGCTCAGAATACTTCTTTTTGCTCCTGGCCTCTCGGCTTGGCAAAATGTATTGTGGTAACTGGCTGGTTTGTTGCACAACCCTTCTAACTCCTAACTGATATGGAGTGTGGTAGAGCTAACTTTCACAGGGAGAGCAGATTGTTAAAATTTTCAGTGTGAGCATTTACACCTTAGAAATCGGCAAAAACTGTAAATTGGGGCTTGGTTTACTGCTTTGTTGATAGTCTAAACTTATGAAAGTGATGGAGAACGTGAATGATGTGGATTAAACTGAAAAGTGTGTCATGCATCTTTTTTTCCAGAGAGCTGGTTGTTAAACATTTACCAGCACACCCCTGAATACACAGGTATCTCCTGGCTTCAACCTTCCCTTGTTCCTTGCTGCAACCCATATCAGAGACCTTTCTTGGCTTCAGACCTGTGATTTCACTGGTGTAGGGTGCCCCCAGTGAGGAACCCGTAGGCACCTTCTCTGAACTTAGTCTTTGGGAGTTGCCCAGAAGAGCCTAAGTGACCTGCCCATTTATGTGTCAGAGTTGGGATATGAACTCAGGTCTTCCTGGCTCCAACAGTACTTCTCTTTGTGCTAGTCTGAAATGATTCTAGTAGGGTAGGCTCAGAATTAAATAGGAAGAAGAGACCACATTTGGGAAATGGTATAACATGTTCCTAAATTTGTTTTATTACAAACTTAATAACCAACCACCAAAACAATCTAGCAACCTTCCAAAACATAGAATAAAATCTTACATAAAATCCATTTTAACTCAGTAGAAACAAATGAATGAATAAACAACAAACAAGCAACAACCATTTTTGTTTTATGTCCCTTTCCAGATCAGGCTATAGTTCTACTGTGTTGTGTTTCTTTTTGGAGCAGCTAGGTGTTGCAGTGGATAGAAAACTGGTCCTGAAGTCAGGAGGACCTGAGCTCAAATCTGGCCTCTGACCAAACACTTGACATGTACTAGCTGTGTGACCCTGGGCAAGTCACTTAACCCCAATTGCCTCGCCAAAAAAAAAAACAAACCCAACAGAACCCACCATTTTTTTTTGCTTTGTACGACTATAGTTGGTGTGTGTAGTTTTGTCATGACCTGCTCCTGCTTTTCATCGCTTCACGTGGATCTTTCAATATCTCCTGGTATGTTCCTTGTTGATAATTTTTTGGCATCATGAGCCATTAAGTCACTGTACTATAATTTATTCAGCCTTCTTCTAATTAGGAGAGGTGCAGCTTATAGCTTGTTCCCATTCGGGGGCTATTTTTGCAGTGCTGTATTGCAGAAAACCTCAGCTTATGCCAGCCTCCTCCTTCTCGACTGGTGCCACCTCCCTTTTCTGAATTCCATCTCCCACACAAGCTTGCCACTGGACACCTCTACCCGTGACATCAGAGGCAAATGACAATCAGACACACATGAGGGAAACCTGATCCTCTTTGGCATCCCTGAGCTGTCCTGAGACACGGATGGCAAAGACCCCAGACATCCCACGTGTCAACGTGGTGAGCAGTTGGTGTCGCTATCGGCCAGATCCTGGGAGAAGCCCCTCATGGGTGCACCGGCACCCCTTGGCCAGAAGCCCTCTGGCTACATCCTGGTTGTGCTCCCTCTGCTCTTGCTGTTCCTGCTATGGGAGCTTCAGAGGCTGCTGCCCCAGGTTAGGGGTTGGGTGCAGCCTTGTTGACCCTTCCTCCCCTCTCTAATCCCAGCCTCAAGTGCCTTCCATTAAGCCCCACAGTCATAAATACATCACATACATACAAACATGCATGCACAGACACAAATACTAATAAATGAGTAAATGAACAAGTAAATGGAGAGATGGGTGGACAAATAGTTGCACAGCAACTCCTGTGGAGAGGCCAGCCATCCCCACCAACTGCCAACCAACTGCCACTCACAGGACAGGCAAGTCAACAGGAGGCATCAGGGGCCAGGCAAACCAAGCCACTACAACCACCAGGACTGCTATCCCCCTCAGACTCTAGTGGAGACAGCCCAAGAGCCTTGGGAAATTGCCATGCCCGCAGCCCAGTGCCCTCAGCCATCAGCCTGTGCAGGGGCTATGGCCACAGCCACTGAGAACCCAAAGGCCTTGGCCCCATCCAGTGGTTCAGCCTCAGAAGATGATAGGATCTCACCAGTGGACATGACCTTGAGGAAGGGTACCTTGTACCCTAAGCATCCCGGGACCTGTCCCTGTGACTCGCAGCCGAAGTCTGTGTCGTCTCCTGCATCAGAATGTGATCTCCTGGAGAGCAGGGAGGGTCCTACTTTCCCCTTTGTATCCCCAGGGCTTTGGTACATTTATTCATAAAGGGTCAGTATGGTTGTCAGTACGGGCTGGCTCATCTTGCCCATCTGAGAAGCCCCTTTTCAGTCCCTGTCATAAACCTTCCTCCAACAGCTCTAGATATTTCTGTACAGATAGATCCTTTTTTTCCTTTTTATGGTAGCTTTAGGATAAAGTGGTAACAAGCACCTAATTTTCACTGGTTCCCGCTACTCTTTAATAACAAAACGACACCGTGTCAGATGGCTCCCCTTAGGGAGCGTGATGAGCTGAGGCAACCAGCTCAGGCTGGGGGACCTTGGCCAAGTCACTCTCTCCTCTGAGTGCCTGTTCATAAAGACCTCGTTCTGTTCCCAACCTTGGGATGCTCTGACCTCAGTTCTAGTCTTGACTCATAGCAAACCATTTCTACTCGGTGGGGCTCAGTCTTCTTTATAAAATGACAAAGTGCCTAGAATCTTTATGGATTGAGAGATGGAAGGGACTCACGGCCACCTATTCCAGCCTCACACTTTATAGGGGAGAAGCCGAGAAGTGAGGTCACACAGATGACAAAACCGTGATTCAAGCCCGGGTCTGCTGACTTCGGACTCTAGACCTCTGATTCTGAACTGGGTTATTTTGTGGGAAAGCTCCCCCTCCTCCCACATACCTGAGGCATTGAGAAAATCTTCTGAGTCCTGAAGAAATGATAGGAAGCTGAGAAGCGTTCATAGCCCCCATTCAGGATGTAGACAGGGTGGCGAGTGTGCTCCGCCAAGACCTTGGCACCCTCTATGGCAGCCCCCATTGAAACGTTGCCTAAACGAACAAGGACCCAAAGCAAGAGAGAGTCAATCCTACTTCTTCTCTTACCCTTTTTTACCCTATTCTTGTACAACTCGTGAATAGGTGATTGAGATATACAAGCCCTAATCTATAAAGACTGAGCATATGGTCCAAATCACTAATAGTGAGCACAACGCAAATTCAAGCAATTTCGGGGAGCAACCTCACATTGAGCAGACTGCTAAAGAAGAAAGAGAGGAAAATGACTAATGCTGAAGGGGCTGCAGGAAAACCTGGCCCACAGTGCCCTCGTGGTGGTGCGGTGAAAGTGATCTGGACTGCGCCCCCCAAATTACCCATCTGCGCCTACATGTGTACCCTTCAACCCAGCTACTAACAGGCCCATTTCTACAGACACTGGACAGCGCCATAGTGGAGGGAGTGCTGGGCCTGGGGGCAGGAAGAAGTGGGTTCAAATCCGGCCTTAGACGCAAATCACTGAATCTCTGCCTGCCTCAGTTTCCTCCCAGGGTTGTTACGAGCACTAAATGAAGTAATATTTGTAAAGTGCACTGCAAAACTTCTTAAAGTACTATGTAACTGCTAACTAGTATTATTAACCTAAAGAGATCAAAGAAAGAGGAAAAGGACCTATATGAACAAAAATATTTCTAGCAGCATTTTCTATAGCAGCTCCAAAACTGGAAACTAAGGGGTGTCTTCCCATTAAGGAAAGACAAAACTAATAATGGTATATGAATGCAATGGAATGTTACTGCACCCTAAGAAAGGATGAAATGGACAATGTCAGAACAAACTGGGAGACTCCTATGGACTAAAAGCAAAGTGAGCAGAACCAGGAGAATGATTCGAAGGACAACATTTTAAAGACAAATCACTTTGCAAAGAACTCTAATCAATGCAGCGAGAAGCCAGGAGTCCAGAAAGCTGAAGAGGAAGCTTCCTACCCACTTTCTGTCAGAGATGGCATGTACTCAAGATGCAGAACAAGACAGACATTTTGGGATGTGGTCAATGTGGAGATAGATGTGCTTTACTGGGCCAGGCATACTTGCTTTGAGGATTTTGTTTTTGGATTTTCTTTTATTATTCAATTGGTGCGTGTGTGATCATAAATGATTGTAAAATAAACAAATAAACTTCAAAACAGCTACCTGTATCACAAGTTTTTAAAAAGACCACGTGCATGTGAATGACTTAGTGTTACAATCAAATAGAATTTAACCACAAAGTTAATCGGGCCCATTTTTAATGATGCACATGACTATTACTACACTAGGTGAGAAGGCAGTAAGCACTCATTATTTACATTTATCAAACGCCAGCTCTGTGCCAGGCACTCTGCTAAGCGCTTCACAGCAACTCTGTGTGGTATTATTATCCCCATCTTACAATTAAGGAAACTGAAGCAAGCAGAGGTTAAGCAAATTGCTGAGGGGTCCTACAGCCAGTAAGTGTCTGAGGCTGGATTTGAATTCAGGCCTTCCTGCCTCTAGTCCTGGCACTCTATCTATTGTGCCACCTAGCTGGTTAATTCAGGAGAACCTGGCAAGTAACCTGATGAAATAACTACAATTAGCATTCTTTTATTCAGCCACAATTTCTGGGGTCAGAGGGCAGTGGAAATATTCATTCCATACTCTGCCTTTGGGCACCAGTCTGCTAGAAATGATTTTATTTAATTTTATTTGTGCTGGTCTCTTAGTTATTTCTGGCTTACAGAGATTTCAGAAAGTTTCCCCGTGCCCACCCAACCCGTGTCCACCTCAAGATACTTTTAGGTAACAGTACAGCTCTAGGTCAACATTCAGAATGACTGAGCAGCCAAGCCACCCGGGAGGAATCAAGAGGAGCCTTCCCCGAGCTCCTCGGCAGAATCTGTACTGAAAGGAGACACCAGGCGGACAGGGTGCCTCCCCTTCAGCGGAAGTGGACACCACCTTTGGGTGGGTCCTTCAGTGCTGGGGAAGGCACCCTTATCACCCTTAATCTATTTCCCTAAGAAAACCCTTGGCTTTTGCTCACTTTCCAAAAGTGAAAATCTAGAAAGAGTTTTAGGGTGGGGAAATACTATTGCTTAACATTTCTAGGGAAGCTAAAAAGGAGGTCCACTGCCTTACTCCATCGGGGACATGCGTCAAAAACGTCATCTATAACGTTGGAGGCTTGAGTGCTTCCCTACACATCTAAGCCACAGACTGTGTGCTCAGACAGCCACCCACTATCCGGATGCCATCACCTTCAAATCAGGAAAGGAAACCTCGGGGAGCCTCAGGCGGGGGGAATCGTGGTCCCCAGGCTGTCGCCTGTGCCAAGGGATCACAGGCCATATGCCCCAGAGCACTGGGTGGGGGTGAGGGTGAGGGCAGGGGGTTGCAGGCAGAGATGGGGGCCCCAAGCCATGCTGCTGGGCAGCCTTGGCTTCCTAGAGGCTGCTAACTTTCACAACAGAACCCCTGAGGAGCAGATCCCCAGCTCCCTGACTCCTTGATCAGTGCTGGAGCCACAGCATGAACTGTGAGCTGGCCAAAGTCTGTTTGACTGGTCTGGCCTGGAGACCAAGGTTGCCAAAGGTTTTTAATGCCGCCATACTGAGGAATTTCTATTTCATCTCAGAGGCAATGGGGAGCTTCTGTAGGGCTACAGCTCTGCTTGTGAAGGAAGAGCCAGAGACTGATGAGGCAGCCGGGGCCATAGGCCATGGGAGGTAACAAGAGGCTGAACGAGGAGGGTGGCCATGGGAGTGTGGACAAGGCATGGATTCGAGAGATATTGAGGAAGTAGAATCAACCAGATTTGGCGACTGATTGACTAGGGGAGGTCTAGAAGAGGCGAGAGTCAGGAGAGACTAGCAAGGCAGTGGTGCTCTCAACTGGCACAGAGAGTTTGGAGGAAGAATAGGTTTTAATAAGGGTTGTTGTTGTTGCTGAGACCTTTTCCAGTTGTGTCTGACTCTTCGTGACCTCATTTGGGGTTTTCTTGGCAGAGACACTGGAGTGGTTTGCCATTTCCTTCTCCAGCTCATTTTACAGATGAGGAAACTGAGGCAAACAGGGTCAAGCAACTTGGCAAGGGTCACACAACTAGGAAGTGTCTGAGGCTGGGGATACAGGACTGAAAATCAAGAGAAGGAAAACTGGAAAGCAGTCTGGGAGAAATGAAACTTAGATCAACATCTCTCTATATTCTAACCTTAACTCTAATTCTCACCGCAGTGAACTCCAAACGGATACATGACCTAGACATCCAAGGTCGTGTCCCAAAAAAAGAGAGAATGGAAGGAGATTCCTTGCATAACTACAGATAACAGAATTCTTAGCCAAACATAGGATAGAGAGGATCACAGGACATGAAATGGATAATTTTGACTATATAAAATTGAAAAGGTTTTATACAAACAAAAGCAATGCAGTTAGAAGGGAAATAATTCACTAGGTTAAAAAAAAATCTTTGCAGTAAATTTCTCTGACAAAGGTTGGTTATCCAAGAATATAATGAACTGATATAAAAATCAAAAGTCATTCTCCTGCAGATAAATGGCCAAATGACACAAAGAATTTTCAAAGAAGAAATCCAAACTCTCAAAAACAAAAACCCCACATAAAAATGCTTCAAATCTCTACTAATAAGAGAAATGCAATCTAAGACAACTCTGAGGTTCCACTTTATACACTTCTGACTGGCAAACTGACAACAACAGCAGGAGAGATTATGGGAAGACACAACTGCTGGTGGGTTGTGAACTGGTCTAGCCATTCTGCATCACTCAACTCTGCGGCCATGTGACCCAGGAATACCATGATGGAGCATATGCCCCAAAGATATCAAATTAAAAGGGAAAGGACCTAGGTGCACAAAAATGCTGACAATGGCACTTTTGTTATGATAGCAAAGAACCGGAAACAAATTGGGCACTCATCAATTTGGGGACTGGCTGAATAAAATTTGGCATATCGATGCATACGATATTGTTGCTTTAAAAGAAATGATGGAAGGCAAAGGAAATCTGGGAAGATTTGTATAAACTGACGTAGAGTGAAGGGAGCAGAATGAAGGGAACAATTTATACAACAACATTGTAAAGATAATTTTGAAAGAGATAAGAACTCTGGTCAATGAAATAACCAATCATGTCTCTGGAAGAATAATGATAAATTGCACCTCCTACTGTGTGGTGGAGGAGCGATGGATTATAGATGCAAGTCCTACTATTACACCACCAATCAGTTTTGACTATACTTTGATTATAAGCGAGGGGATTTATTTGGGGAGGTAGAAAAAGTTGTGGGGAGAACTGGGGAGGAATGTAGTAACATAAAAAAGGGGAGAGAGTAAAGAACATAGTACCAATGTAACATTAAAAAAAAACCAGAAGAGATGGGGGTGGAGTTCAGAGGGGGACAGGGACAAGCAGGCCAATGGCCGTACTACCACAAGTTGCATGCAGTGAATTTGTGGTTTCGTGTATGATATTCTGGCCTTTGTGTAAGGAAACATTCATATTTAACGATGATTTTCATAATAAAAAGAATTTCATTTTTAAAACAGGTAAAAGGAATCTCGAAGGCCATCTAATTCAATCTCCTCATCTTATAGTAAGGAAGCCGGGGCCCAGAGAACTTGAATGGTTTAGGATCGCAGGCTCAGAGCTGGGAGGGACCATCAAAACCATCTGGTCCAATGTTCTCATTTTACAGGTGAGGAGACCAAGGCCTAGGGCAGCGCTGGGGAACCTGAAGCCTCAAGGCCACACGTGGCCCTCCAGGTCCTTGGCTTCAGCCTTTTGACCGAGTCAAGTTTTATACGACCAATCCTTTTATGAAGGGGATGTGTTCTGTGAAGTTTGGATTTGGTCAGAGGGCTGCACTTGAGGACCTAGAGGGCCACAGGTTTCCACCCTGACGATGAAGTGACGTAGCGATCTTAGCTCCGGTCCTTGGGCTCCAGAGCCGGCTCTGAAGGCTGCCTTCTCTAAAGACAGTCATGGCAATGGAGTGCCAGTGGTCTCAGGCCTACCTTCCTCCTCATCCTCAGAGCTGTCAGTGTTGTCCTTCTCCTCTAGCTCCACACACACGTCCAAGGAGTTGGTGATTCCGTCATACACGATGCAGTACTTCACACACTCCAGATCCATGGACTTTGGAACAACATATTTACCTCCCTTCTAACAAGATGAGAATAAAGTTAGAGGGTTAATACCACAGAGTCCTGGTAAGGAACTAACATGGTGCGGCCCCTTCCCTGGGTGGGCAGCATTCATGTAGGGCCCAGAATGCTTTGGAAATTGTCACCTGATGGGGTCTCAAGGTAAGCAGTGAATTTAGGGAAGGCTCATCGTTCGTTACAGGACCCTAAAACTGAAAGAGACTTGAGCGCTCAGCCAGTTCAACCCATGCAGAAATCCCTCCTAACAACGGCACACCTGGTGGTCGGATGGCAGATCTTGCTTAACCCCTTCCGCTGCCTCAGAAAGCAGGGATTTTCACTGTCCAATAGCTCTGCTCACTAGAAAGTCCTGCTCTGAAGCCCAGTCTCCCGTGCCTCCCCGAGAGGGCTCAGACACAGGCGGATCCCTCTCCCATTCTGGCCCCCCCAAGCCTTCTTCCTTTGTACAAAACCTCGCCGTGTGTCACGCACTTCATAAACGCTGAGCTCAGCGAAGACCAATGAGCTTTGTCTCGGTCAGGCGTTCAAAGGAGGTAGATTCTAAAGAAAAGAGACTTCCTAAGGAAAGCAGGTAAAGGCAGGCAGAGACGTCCTCCCCCTTTTAATTTCTCTGATTGCACATGGGGGCGGGGGAGCTACTTACTAAGCTAACTGCTGGAGCTGCATCAATAATGAGTGTACTGCTCTCCCAGGCAACCCCGAAGAGGATGCCTTCTCCTGGGGGGGTGGCTGGTTTTGTTTTTGTTCAGTCCTTCAGTTACAGCCGACTCTTCGTGACCTCATGGACTCCTCCATGGGGTTCTCTTGGCAAAGATACTGGAGTAGATGGCCATTTCCTTCTGAGGTTGGTTGTTTGTTTTTTTTTTTAACAGATGAGGAACTGAGGCAAATAGGGGTGAAGTGACTTGCCCAGGGTCACACTAGTAGTATTTGAGGCCAGTAAGTGTCTGAACTCAGGTCTTCCTGACTCCAGGCCCAGCGCTCTATCTACTGCTATAGTCAGCACCACAATTCACTCTCTCTGAATGGGAGAAAAGGTGCCCGTGCTGAGCTCTAACACTTTCTGTCTCTCTTCCCTTCCACAAGCTTGGGCCGCCATCACTGGCCCTGCTCTCAAATGCTTCCTCTGCCCAGGCACTTAGAAAGCTGGAGCTGGGTCAGGGGCTGAGCAAAGGAAGAGAGACAAGAGGGGGGACTTTAAAAGATGAAAATAAACCTGGGTAAGGCATCAAATAGCGAGTGTAGACCCTTTTGGGCCACATGCTTTCCTTCCTCCACTCTACTTTAAAAACTGTCATTGACAAGTTTTGTTTCAACACATCATACAAAGCCCCAGTGTACTTCCACCTGAGAATTTCTCAACGTTCAATCAATCCACAAACATTCATCGAGCACCCACTATGTGTCAGGTGCTATGCTAAATGCTGGAGATAAAAAGGCAAAAAATGAAACATTTCCTGTCCTCAAGGAGCTTAACTTTTGTTGGGGGAAACAACACCACAGATATGTTTCTGTGTCTCTATGCATGCATATATATGTATATACACGTGTATATACATACATACACACATACATACGTATACACAATATATACATACACACACACACACACACACACACACACACAGATACACCACAGCTGTCTATCTATAGCCATACTCTGGGGCGACTCTCCCAAACTACACTCACAGGCTGGGTCCCACTACATTCAGAGTTCTAGGGGTAACCCTGTGGGGCTGGACTTCCAACATTATCACTCACATGCTCCTATTGTGTGCATTCTATTAACAAACAGTTAGAAGACTCAGTTCTTTTCAGAGGCATTTACTCCACAAGCTTAATAAGGACAACTGGTACATTTCTCCAAAAATCTTGGAGCACACTTTGCCAGGAATGAAATGGAGTCCATGGGATGACTGGGCTCAAACTTGGAGCAGTGAGACACCCGTGTGGGCAAGTCCTGTAGTACAGGGATAACTCACAGGTCCTGGCACCAGACATCCTTCCTGGAGTCCACCCCTGGCACTCCTCTCTTTCCGTATACATCTGTCTCTCCACATCCATCTGTCCTTGGGATTTCTCTGCTCTCAGATGGATGCACGGCTACTGGGCCAGTGACAAGACCAATTGTAGAGGGGACAGAGGAGAGACTCCCCAAGAATGATTCTCAGGGCATCAGGGTGGTGCAGTGGATAGAACACCAGCCCTGAAGTCAGGAGGACCTGAGTTCAAATCCAGCCTCAAACATTTACTAGCTGTGTAACCCCAGCTGCCTCAGCAACGACAACAACAAAAAGTGATTGTCTTTCAGGGCCTAATTCTTCTACTTCTTGTTCCAGCTCTGGGGCTAGGCATCCTTCTCTGCCAGCTTGGCAATCTGCTGAAATTCCTCTAGCTATTTAAAATCCCTTCTTGACCCAATTAGACAGGCTCACAACTCACGCTTCAACTTATCTTGCTCACACATTAAAACTTCATATGGCTAACGACATTCTGTGACTGCATTAGCTGAAAGGTGGGGGTGAAATCACAAGCCCCTTCCCTTATAACCAAAAAACGAAAGCATCCCTGTCCTCAAGGATATTATGTTCTATTGGTGATGACAGCATATACATATATGAACATACACAAGAAAATTATGTGTAATAAATGCAAGGCCTGAAACAGGGAAGTAAAACGACATTTAAAAAAGCAAGCACAACTGATACTTTGGTAGCCCTTGTGTATGTCTGTCGTTTGGTCCTAGCTTTGTGTTGTTTATTCTGCTTTTAAAGGAGAAAAAGGCCGAATGTCTGCCGAAGTTCTTCGTAGTGCCTGTCCCAGCCTGGGAGAAGTGGATAGAATGCTCTGTGATATCACCTTCAGCGTCACCCAACTCCTGCAGCAAATGGAGAAGGCAGAGATCTTCCCTCAGCCGTGTCTTCAGCTGACATTGTCCCTCGGAACAACGTTCTGCTTCATCCCCCATGCCGTACCTCATCATTAATGGTGTGCAGGACTTACTACTGAGTCACACATGGAGACACCAAAAAGATTTCAGTGGGGCCTGTGCACCGGCTCCTTACCCACCTCTCTGACCAGAAGCGAATGACACCACATTTCCATAGCACCCTGTGGCTAAAAGCACTCTACATCCATTATCTCATAACAACATTTTAAGATCATTCCAGTTCAATTCAATTCAATTCAATTCCGCAAGCATTAGGTGCCAAGGCATTGAGCCGAGTGCTTGAGATAAAACAAAACAAAACAAATCAAAGAAATGAAATAGTTCTTGCCCTCAGTGGGCAGGTTCTACTAGGAGGGACGCCAGATAAAGAGACATAAGTCCAGTCAAAATCACATATTTCCACGAGGGAAAGATCACTGACAACTTCGGGGAAGGAGGAATACAGAAAGTCTTTGAGCAGGAGATGGCACCTGAGCGTGTAAGAGGAAGAAAGCCAGGGATTCTGAGACATGACTGTGAGAGAGGAGTGTACTCTAGACAGGGGGCACAGCCTAAGCAAAGGCGTGGACGTGGGAGATGTCATATTCAGAGAACAACTAACAGGCTGGTCTGACTGGAACTGAATGCATTAAGGGAAGTAATATGAGGTAAAAACATGAAGTAAGACTGAAAATGTAGGTACAAGTATTATTGCCTCCATTTTACAAATGAGGAAATTGAGGCTTGGGGTTAGTGACTTGGTCAGGGTGACTTGAATTGTATGGGCCCCACTCAGGCCTGTGATTCCAAGCCCTGGGGTCTTTCCACCACATCATGCTGAGAAGGGCAAGGAGAAACCAAGGGAGGCCCAGGGCTAGCTACAAACAGCAAAGCTCCCAACAGACAGACAGTACAGCACCACAAAGTACCTGCTTCATCCTCTGGGCGGTGATGATGTGGCTTTCATCATACTCTCGTTTGGTACGGACATCTGAAAACAAAAAGCATTTAAGCAATCACTCAGGCTGACACAGCAGTGCCGTAGCCATCATCAACTCTATTGGCTAAAAGGCCATGTAACATTTGCTTTATATGCTCCATGTTGCAGCCAAACTGGCCTGCTTCCTGTTCCTTACACATGGCGTCCCATCTCTCACCTCTGGGCCTTTGCACAGACTGGCCCCATGCTTGGAACACTCTCCCTCCTCACTTGCACCTCTTGAATCCGCAGCCTCACTCAAGCGTCACATTAAATGCCATCTCCTACATGAAGCCTTTCTGGACCCCCTCAGTCGTTAGCATACCTCTCTCCAAAAGTATATTGTTAATTTGTATGTTGTCTTTGGTGGACGCATTGTTTTCCCTCAGCAGAGCATAAGCTTCTTTTTTGTTTTTTCAGATTCTTTTTTTAAAAATTAATTTATTTTGATTTATCAACAATCACTTCCATATGCTTTTGAGTTTAAAATTTTTCTCCCCCCCTCTCCCCACCACCCTCTCCAATATGGTGCACAATTTGATATAGGCTCTACATATACATTCCTATTAAACATATTTTTACATTAGTGATGTTGTAAGTAAGAATTAGGCCCAATAGGAGGAACCACCAGAAAGAGGAAACAAAACTCAACAGAAGAAAAACAATAGCAAATACTGTGCTTTGATCTGCATTCAAACTCCACAGTTCTTTCTTTGGATGTGGATAGCATTTTCCATCATGAGGCCTTTGGAGATGTCTTAGATGCTTGTATTGCTGGGAATGGTTAAGTTTATCAAGATTAGTCATCGCACAACATGGCTGTTATTGTGTACAACGTTCTCCTGGTTCTGCTCACTTCACTCAGCACCAGACCATACAAGTCTTTCCAAGTTTTTCTGAAGTCAGCCTGTTCATCATTTCTTAGAGCACAATAGTATTCCATTACGTTCATATACCACAACTTGCTCAGCCATTCCCCAACGGATGGGCATCCTCTCAATTTCCAATTCTTTGCCACCACAAAAAGGGCTGCTAAGAATATTTTTGCACATGTGGGTCCTTTTTCCATTTGTATGATCTCTTTGGGATGCAGCCCTAGAAGTGCTATTGCTGGGTCAAAGGATATGCACATTTTTGTAGCCCTTTGGGCATAGTTCCAAACTGTTCTCCAAAATGGTTGGATCATTTCACAACTCCACCAACAATGCATTAGTGTTCCAATTTTCCCACATCTTCTCCAACATTTATCATTTTCCTGTTTTGTCATGTTGGCCAGTCTGATAGGTGTGATGTGGTACCTCAGAGTTGTTTGGATTTTCATTTCTCTAATCAATAGTGATTTAGAGCATTTTTTCATATGACTATAGACGGCTTTAATTTCTTCATCTGAGAACTGCCTGTTCATATCCTTTGACCATTTGTCAATTGGGGAATGACTTGTATTTCTAAATTTGACTTAATTCTCTATATATTTTAAAAAATGAGGCCCTTATCAGAGAGACTGGTTGTAAAAATTCTTTCCCAATTTTCTACTTTCCTTCTAATCTTAGTTACACTGGCTTTGTTTGTGCAAAAACTTTTCAATTTAGTGTAATCAAAGTTATCCATTTTGCTTTTGTAATGTTCTCTATTTCCTGTCTGGTCATGAATTCTTCTGCTCTCCATAAATCTGATAGGTAAAATATTCCTTGCTCTCCCAGTTTGCTTACAGTATCAGCCTTTATATCTAAATCATGAACCCATTTTGACTTCATTTTATTACATGGTGTGAGATTTTGATCTATGCCTACTTTCTGCCATACTCTTCCAGTTTTTCCAGCCCATAGGTTCTTTTAAAAACAATATGGGTTACATTTGAAATAAGCTACATTTAGGACAGACAATACGTTTAAGAGTCACAGCTCCTGACTTCTAGAACAGTGGTATACAAAGTGAGGGCCTGGGTGTGACTCCCAGAGGCATGAGATCCACTCTCCAAAGGGTGGAAGGATGGATCCTGGCCTCCCCACAACAGCTGGCCTCCAACCTTTGCCTATTACTGCCCTCTTGCTGTCTGGCAATCTCCCCACCTCACCCTAGCCAGCTTTACAGGGGCCCCTGGGAAAATTCTCTCCTTCTCCAATATCCTCCTTTGCCCTACCACCCCAGACTGCTTCATAGATTGGACAGACATCCTCCAGGGGCAGGGATGTTACAGTCTACATCCTTGACATTCCCTATTTCTGTAGAGGGCACCGCCATCTTTGCAGTTGCCCAGGTTTGCAACATCAGGTTTCCTCTCCAGTCTTCACTTGCACACACCTCACATATCTAAGTAGCTGCCAAACCTTCTTGTTTTTATCTCTACCGTATCTCTTGCAGAGGATTCCTTTTCTCTCAGGCGATAGCCCTTGATTAAGGCCTGTATCAACTCTCTTGGACTACTGCGATAATCTCTGATTGGTCACTTTGTCTCTCCTCATTTCAGTCCAATGTCTACACTAGTCAACAAGAATTTCCTAAAGCACGGGTCTGACCACATCATCTGCCTATTGATCCCCCATTGCCTCTACGATCAAATATAAACTCTAACTTTTAAAGACCTTTATAACCTGGCCTCAACCTACATCCCCTCTTGTACTCTATGGACCAGCTAAACTGGACTTCTGGCTGTTTCTTGCAATTAAACACAAATGCTACTAAAATATCCAAAGATGAACACGAAATTAAAATATGATGCACTTAAAGCAATACCTACAATATGCCAGGTACTATGCTGGGTGCTAGGGATACAAGAACAAAAAATGAAATAATCCCTACTTGCAGTGAGCTTACGTTCTAATGGGGATGATGAGAGGTAGATACGGATTTATATTGAAAATTTTCTGTTAAGTTGAAATCAGAGATGTTTCATTTTCGTTTCTGTGTTGGGTAGGTGAATATCAACACACAGAAAAACATGACTCCTGGTGAACAGCTGATTTTTACTGATTATTATGACCTGTTGTTTGTGACAGTGTATCTTTCTTTTTCAAAAAATTTCCACATTAGTCATGTTGTGAAAGAAAACACAGACCAAAGAAACCCTGTTGGGGATCTGTAAGGATGTAGAGGGCCACAGGCTGTTCATGAGGTCTCACTGACGGGCCCCTCTCAGGTGCTGATCTTTGAGCAAAGGTCGCCTGGCTTGGTGCTCCATTGTATAGATCTTTAACAATCTTTAACTCCCCTAGTTATTGTATGGTCATTAGCAGTCTATTCTGGGATTGGAGTCAGATAAGTGCACAGGACGTGCATGCACTGTCCTTGAGCACAGCATGGGCCATATGTCATTGTAACTTGAGAAAGAGTTCCTGTTATTTTACTATATAAGTAAGTGCTTTGCTAAAAATAAACAGAGTTGCTTCCATCCTGCCTCCTGCCTCATCAATGCGCATTTGAGATAGAAAATCAAGCTGGTCTTGATTCATCAGGTGATTGGGAAATCCTAGGCCCTAGGTAGGCTCTATAGCCAAGTGAACTCGTTGTGCACAACAAACTGGTGCCCAATGTGGGGCTGCACTGCTGCCGTGAAGAAGATACGGAGAGTAAGACAGCTGCATGAAACAGTCGGGAAACGTCTGGACCAAGAAGACGCGACACCCACATCAAGACACCAAGGCCTGCTGGAGCCAGGCAGCCTCCTCGTGAGAGGTCTCCGAATCGTATCCCGTGGCAGAAGACTATGGAGAGGTAAGAGGATTTCTTACCATGGGGCAAAATCTAGGTAAACTCTCAGATAAGGAACAGAATGTTAGAGTAATATATAAAGTGATTGAGGAACAGGGGTGCTCGGTAACTCCTAAGAAAATAAGAAAGTTTCTAGATATTATTGATATAAAGTCTTCATGGCACCCCAGAGAAGGGAACTTAGATTTAGAACAATGGAAAATAGTGGGAGAAGAATCGACAGAATTTTATAACAACAAAGGCCCAAAATCAGTTCCTCTGGGTACTTTCACTATCTACAATCCTATAAAAATGGGCTTGTAGGAGCTGTGAGAACAAAGGAAGTTCCCGCCATGTGCCATGAGAAATTTCAAAAATCCCCAAGGGGAAGTAGAAAAGAAACGTGTAGTCACAGCACTATATTGTGGACATTGTGGAGCATTACAAAGTGAAAAAGTTTCCTTTTATAAAAACCAAAACCTTAAGAAAGATTTTGCCTAGTTTTAGAATACCATGAAAAGAAAAGAGAAAATAAAATAAAAATAGTCTTATTTCATTTGTGTAGGGAATTTCTGACAAGTTTCTCGCCTTTGGATTCTCCGCATCATTTTTTTCTATGTTTGTCTGTGTCTGTGTGAATGATGGTCTGTGACTAATGTCTGTGATTTGTTTAATCTTTATACTGCCAGACAGCCAAGGGCTGCAACTGGATTCTGAAATGCTGTTAGTGACTTTCTCCCCTTCCCCCTCCCTAATACCAGCCACATTTCCCGGGGGTGGGTGGATGGGGGAGAGAATGGAGAAAAAGTACTTCATTATTTAGGTTACATAATTTGATAAAAGGCAAGAAAGTTTAAACATACAGGAATAAGAAAAGTATGGGTGGAAAGAATAGTATAATCTGTTTGCATGAACAGCAGAAATAGATGATTTGAGAGTAAAAGATTTGGAAACTTTTGGAGAAAAAAAATTCTCTTTCTTTTTTGCATTCTAAAGCTCTGGCCAAAGCTTTGGGTGTAAGATTGAAAGATTATGTTGAAAAATATTCTCTTCCTTTCTCTCGAATTCCAACCCTGGCCAGGTTGGGGTGGGGGAGAAAAGAAGGAGAAGGAGGAGTTTTCCTCTTCAAATCAAAAAGAAAAGTTTTTAAATATTGGAATACAATCTAAAGATAATTTAGTTCACATTAGTAATATGCATGTTTCAAGTTTTAAAAATCTAGTCTCATTACAAATTGGTACACTTTTATGTGTTATCTTAAGCAATTTTTAATAATTTAAATGTTATTAAAATGTGAACTAAAAAAAACTGAAAGGTAGTGAGAT